GCCGGGTTAAAATCGGTCCATATTATTTCACCTAGCCCCCATACAACAGAACCCCCCCAAAAGGGTTTCTGAGCTCATAATTATGTTAAATATACTTGTATATGGATAAAAAGCGACACTTTTAGACCTTGCCAAATTTCATAAAGATCGGGCCTCATTTGACCCCAACTCCCATACAAAGTCCCCTTCAGAAAATTACTTGAATGTCCAAAATTAACTTATAAATATCTCGATGAAATTCAGCACAAATAAATACTATATGAATGTAAATATATTCACAAAATGTTATCGGCCTTGGTCCATATTTGCCCCTAGCCCCCATATAAAGCTTCTTTCAGAAAATTTGTTTTTCATCCATAAATTGCTTAAATGTATCGGAACAAGGTAGTGGAAGATAAATGCTGTATTATGAAAAATAAATCACATTTAATATTCATAACTGGTGTAGGGTGTCATATGGTCGGTCATGACCGACTATACTTTGTTACTTGTTTTTCTTTACATTATCTTTTTATATTTTTTTTAAGTTATTAAAATTCCTAATTTCAATAAAAGTTTTTATTTGTTATGAATTTTTATTCAATATGAATTATTAAATAGTAATGAGATGGTAAGAGGAATAAAAGTTTATTTTGAAATTTGAATATAAAATTGAAAATTTTCATTATTTTAACACAGCGATGACATTGGAGGAAAGTTCTTAGAACTCTCGCTTATGAATAAGTACTTAAATAAGTCATACAAACAGGGAGTAGTTAGGAGTAGTAGTACACTGAAATACTATTTTCATTCTTTCACATAAAATAGCAATACTCAAAATAAGTACAGACGGTATCTAGTAGTTGATTTTTAAACGATTTAATAATTATTTTCTCTAGGGGGGAAGGGTCAATTATGGACGGATTATTTTAGTGAAGAAACTTGCATTTGTAAGCTAAGGTCATTTTCAATACAGTATCAAAAAAACGGAGGCAGAGATATATGAATATGGCTAAATCGTCTTAAAATCTAATAAGGACCAGAATATTAGGGTTGTCAATTATTCGTGTTTAAAATTATTCGAATAAAAATGTACTATATTTTTTTTATTCGAGTAGTCGATTAAATTTTAAAAATTATTCGATTATTCGAACGAATAACGAATAAAAGTTTTTATTCGAATAATTTAATAAAATATAAATAAAATTTGCAAAACACCTTCAAAATCTTAAAATAAAACGGTTTTCGTACATACATTTATAAATCAGTAACTTAGCTGAATCTCGACCTATTCAACGGGTTTAAAAGTGGAAGCTGAGGCCTTTATAATGATATATACGATGTTTAGCTACCTGTTTTGCAGACATTTTTACAAACTGTTTTATGTAAGAAAATCGTACTATTTATTAATGTATTAGAAACAGGCTACTATCGGGCCCGTTGTGCGTTGCTTTTCATGGATGAAAAAGGTTTTTTGGTAAAAAAACAACATAGTGTCGACTGAATGTATTATCTTTCAATGTTCTGAAACTCAGTTTCCTGGCCGTAATTCCTAAGAATTTCCCAATCAGTGTTGGAGAGAAATGTTCCGCTTGATCAAGACATTCTATCTGGGCTCAGTGTTTCAAAGTTTCTGACATATTCTGTGTCTAGCATGCGATCAGGCGATGATTGTTTATAGCTTTCCAATGTGTCCAGTATACATTGATGACGTGTCCTATAACTGATTTTGGACATTTCACCTAAAGTTATGAACTCCCTGTTGTAGTTATATATTACACTTTTTGTCCAAAGAAGTCAACCCGATTATTGAACCATAAGCTAGAATTAGTAATTACACTTTAATAAAACCAATGTTTTATAGTAGGACTAAGACCCCATTTCATGCCTATAGTTCTCCTACATATCGCCCAGGAAACAGGGTTCAGTATATTTAGAAATTGTTGTCTTTCTTGTAAAAAGACAGATACTGAAAGAACCATATTAATTAATGTTTATCTGTTTCACTTATTGCAAACATTAAAAAAATTGAAGAATATCACTTTTAAAACTAGAACCATTTTATATTTAACATTGCAAAACAAACATTTTTATAAACTGCAAAAAGTAGTAAAAGTTTTGTTTCAATTATAACATATCTTTATATTTAGATTTGTTTTACAAAATATTAACATAATTTCAATGCTATGTATAATAAAATATTCGTAAAAAGTAATATTCAAATAATTGTCGAATATTCGATTAATCGACAAAAATTGTTCGAATTATTCTTTATTCTAAATTGGAAATTTTTTATTCGTTCGAAGAAAAACAAATTTTTTTCCTCGATTAATCGAATAATTTTTATTCGAATGACAACCCTACAGAATATACATATGTACATATGTATGTAAATACTTTTGTGAGTTTACGACCAATATTTGACTAAATTAATGTAACCCCGTCAAATTATTAAAAAAAATCAATTGTTTGAAAATATAAATATTGAAATTTTTCAAAAAACTTACTCTGCTACCCACGTTATTTTAAATATTAAATTTTACAATCTTACCAAAACAAACTTATGTTATTAAAAACAAAAAAAATCATAATTTATTCTTTAATGCTCTTTCGCCATATATCGACATCTCACTAAGGATACCCCAAAAAAAACCCACTAAAAAGCGATTTTCAATGTCACTGTCAAATCCTTTTGTCGTTAAATGCCCTCAAGGAAAATTAACAATTTGTGAATGTGCGTGTTTGTTTCTGTTTCGTTTTAAAAGTTTTTGTTGTATGTACTATATGTTTGTATATAGTGAGTTGTTACTGTTACCAAAGTTATTTGATTATGTAAATTAACATTTCGTTGTTGGCTTTTTTGCTTTTAAGACAATTTACATTCTTATCATTGTCATTACAAACCAAAACCGAAAAATGAACTGAAAAACGAAGAAAAACATCAACAGAGTCAGTCTGTCTGTCTTCTTTCTGCTGGATGATGATGATGGTTGTTGTTTATTACTCGCCTTCTACTTTCGCAACAGTATTGAACGGGGCAGAACAGGGTTTCCAAGGTTACCATCAAATATGCAAACCTTGTAGTTGTATTTACAACTTGTATCTTTTTTCTCTCTATATACGGTTGTTGGGTATAATTTAGATTTGATTAGGCGGCAAGATGACAATGACTACTACAGCAGAGCCACAGCCATAGCCGACAACGAAATAACAACAATGACAACCAACTACCAGGACTCATTGTTGCTGTTATTGAGTTTATTTTATCTCATCTTTTTATATGAAAATAATGTTGTGTTAGTTAGTTCGTTCGTTGGGTGGCTGACTGCCAGTCACTCACTCATTCAATGTTTTCATATGTCTGCTAGGATGGCTGACTGGCTGCTGGATAACAGTTGATGATGATAGTAACCACAGGCTATGTTTAAATAATGTCTCCCCAAATGGAGAAAATTTGATGTAAATGTCGTTTGATAAGAAAAAACTGCTTATAAAGGGAATTAGAATTGAATAAAAAACCACAATAAAATACGAAATGATTTTTTGGGCTTCTTTTCTTCCACGCTTTTGGTGATATCGATATTTTAGATGTGGAAATATATATTAAAGTAAAAAAAAACAATCTTGTCTGCCATGTCTCTTTCATTTAGCACCAAATGTAACTGTCAGATTCAATAATTATGACTGATTTTTCTATAAAATATTCACAGCACATTTTTACAATTGTTTATCAGTTTAATTTAATAAATACATATTAAGTTGTTTCATATTTATTCCTGTATAAGTTTTTTCGTAACAAAATCAAAAGACATTTAACTGTTCGCTATTTAGTTACACAAATATAGTTTATCTCTATAAAATTGTTTTGTACTTTGGCAGAGTCCACTTGAAATGCATAATTTGCTATTTACATGCTTCACAACATTCTTTAAAATAAGAAAGGAAATAGTTTTGTTAAGGTTACGATTTTTGAGATATGTATGTAAACATGGTTTTCAGATGTTAAAATATTGTCTGAGAAATGTTCAGCAAATGTCTAACAACCGTGTGAACTAAAAATTTTTGTCTTGTAAAACAATAACATTTTCATCTATCAATCGTGTAAACACATTACGTTGCCATTTCCAGATCATTGTCTGACAATTTTTATTGTCAAATCTGCGAATATTAGGCATAAATTATTACTACAACATTTCTACAACAGTGGCAACACTGTGCATTAAAAGAAACGTGTACAGCTAAAAGAGAATCTGGCAACTTTTGCCATACAACAATCTGACAACAGTGTTAACTGAAAATTTTTATTGGCAGATTAATTTACTATCTGGCAATGAAATTGTATTCTTACAATTGTCGGAACTAACAATTTACCTGTTGTAAACTAATTTTCATTACATCGCCAAATTTGACAACATTGTAAGATCTGACAACTGTCTATACATAGCTTTATCAAATATTCAGCATTGAAATGGATAGACCATTCCGAATGATTGTCGAGATTGGAAATCATGTCTTCACACAGTAATCTGACAGCATTGTAAGATCTGACAACTGTCTATACATAGCTTTATTTAATAATATGCAAATATCCATCAGTGAAGGATATAGAGCATTCCAAATGATTGTCGAGACAATAGGGCATTCGACAGTGATAATTTGTATATAAATATTTCAGTGTCACCGTTAGTATGTGTCCAATATTACCCAATAATGTTTGTATGTAAATTTCTCAGACGAAGAGATTTGTGATGGTTAATATTCCTCCCGTATCATCAAACATTTTAGCACCAAAAATATGGCTTGTTATGATGACAAATTGAATGTCAGTTGTTGTTGTTCTAATTAAAAAACTAACATTTTAAAAAGAACGATTTTTTTTAGAAAAAGCTATAAGTTTTTTAAATGTGTTATGACTTGTTTTCTATAATAGAATTCTTTTCTCCACTGTGCACTGTCAAACAGTCAACAGTCATTTTTTATTAGCTTCAATAAAATTGCCAATCCAATTGACATTTTAAATGTTTGTAAGAAAACAATGAAATATTGTGCAAAAAATATTTAAGTAAAAATATCATAAAAAATACCAAATTTAAATATCTAAGATTAAGTTTCGACATAAATTTATAAGATAAAAAAAGTGAAAAAAAAAATCAACAACACAGCAAAAACAGTATTTACTACATGCGATAAAAAAATCAAATCAATAATAAAAATAAATCCCAAATAAGTCTTCCCTCGCCATCAAATCTAAAATCAGGGGAAGACACAAACAGCAACGTGTAGAAAATTAAAACCGAAAAGAAAAACAAAAACATGTTTAATGTTAAAATTAAAGTTAAGGAAGGCAATAACACATTGCCACGCACCAAACGAACAGCAGCAGCAACAACGTCCATATTAAACAACAACAATAGTGGCACCATGAGCTTAAATGGACGCAACAGTCCTGCCACTTCCAGTCTACGCAGCTCTTTGGCATCATCGAACCGTAGTACGAGTAATTCACTTAAACGCAAAGATAAACGTGTAAGAATTGTCACCACTTATATGCCAACCAGCGAGATAGAATACCAGCAACAGCAGCAGCTTTTATTGCTGCAGCAACAACAACAGCAGCAGCAAGAGCGTTTAAGACAATATGGTAAGACAACATAATACAACAAAAAAGAAACAGATAAAGGGAAAAGGAAACTGTTATTAATTCGAACCTTGTACTCATGCATGTTACACACATGTGTATGTAGTTGTAGGGGTTTTTGTGAAACAAATAAAATTCAGTGTAGTAGCTAGGGGGAAGGAAATAAATGAGACAACGACAGGAAGAGAAGAGGAGAAAGAAAGTCATGTTATTTCCTAATTGTTTATGCACATGCTAACGCCTTTTTGAAGTTGGTAATTGCAAAACGTGACTTGCATTGATAATATTTAACAACTACAACAAAAAAACTAAACATACAAACACTCTCTTACACACTAACACATACTTCAAATACAAAAATTAACTATACTCGTATATGTTTATGTAAATATATTTATATGGCTTATTTACTTATCCTGCAACATATACACATATATATGTATTTACTCCCTAATACATATTTTATTTATCTTATTATGTTAATTTTCTTTTTCATTTTTCCAATTTCGTGTTTTTTTTTCTTGTCTTTTTTGCACGCACACAGATGCCCTTGATGGTGTCACCGAATTGCGCCTGGAACAGTATGAAATTCACATTGAACGTACCTCGGCTGGCCTCGGCTTAAGCATTGCTGGCGGCAAAGGTTCAACACCATTTAAGGGTGATGATGATGGCATTTTTATATCACGTGTCACCGAAGGGGGTCCAGCCGATTTAGCCGGCCTTAAAGTTGGCGATAAAGTTTTAAAAGTCAATGGCATACCCGTCGTTGATGCTGATCATTATCAAGCTGTACAAGTGTTGAAGGCCTGTGGTGCTGTCTTGGTTTTAGTTGTACAGCGTGAAGTAACACGTTTAATTGGTCATCCTGTATTTAGTGAGGATGGTTCATTATCACAGGTGAGTTGGAAAAAATACAATGCTTTTTTATAAGGTTCGCATTTAGTTTTATGTTAGAGACTTTCGTTTTTATGCAGTCATGTCCAAACATTAGTATAACGGAGGTATTAATTTAATCAACGTCAGACATATAATATATTATATAGATAATGTAATAAAATCTGTTACATTTCCTACTGCTGAAAATTATTAAATCGGTTTCTGATTTAATTTCGAATTTTTGTTCAAATATATTAGAATTTTGAGTCGAAGGCTCACCGGTAGATTAGTGGCTAGGGTTCTAGTCTTTTAAACTGGAGGTCGTGGGTTCGATTCCCACCAGAGACACTGGTTAAGGAGTGCAAAAGGGCCTAGGTGTATTATCCCAAAACTACTCCCGTGTAAATATTATTAGAGTATTTTATTGGTTTAATGCAGGCAAAATTGGCCGAGTCTGCGGAGTAGTTTTAATTTTTGCTGGATATAACTTCTAACTTTTGAGGAATATCGTTTGGACGACAGTATATTTATGTCCACTAGCTCTAATGTCAGTTATCCCAGTTTCTCAAATAGAATTTGAAGGAAACAAACTTCAAAACATTTTCTACGATATAGTTTTTCTTTTTTTTCTTACTATCCGAACTTCTCAATAAATTGCACCACATTTAAGGTCGTTCATCACTGCACCTACATGATATTTTTTTTTTTACAAAACTTTTAAAAATAAAATTCACTTTTGTTTAGTTACTCTATATATAAATACTTATACTGAACATTATTCTTTTTTAACATTTACTATTTAAGATTTCTGTTGAAACACGTCCCTTGGCGACTACCATTCCACAACTTCAACAGCAACAAACACATGAAAGATATATACCACCTCCTTTGGAAATTTTACCAGAACATCAAGAGCAACATTCACATGCCCAGCAGCAACAGTATTCGGCAACAAATTTGCACAATTATCACGCAAATGTATTTACCACACCAGGAACAGTTACAGCAGCGGCCGCAACAACGTCAGCAGCTTTTCAAGAACCACAACATGTTGGCGATGTTGCAACAACGACAGCAGCATCAACAAATGGCATTTTTGAAAATGGCAAGGTTTGTGCAAAAAAAAAAAAAAAGTTTTCCTTTTTTCATGTTTATGTTGTGTTTTCTTTTATCAACCATCTGAACTGTCCTTTAAGTAAAAATTCATCCTTCACAGCACCACTCAACACGCCCACTAACTTAATAGTTACACCTAACAGCTTCTGGCGGGAGTTTTAGTTGTTTTCTGCTTACTGCTGTTGTTTCTTTTCCTTTCCTTTTTCTCTTTCTCTAAAAATTATTTCAAATCTTTCGCTGTTTGTTCATCGACAGCAACATGCTTTTGGCAATGCCAAAAATAAAACTACTAAAATAAAAATAACAAAAATATTGTTTAAATATTTTTTTATACTTTTTATCCTTCCACCACTGCTGTTGTTATTTAAGATTTTATTGTTGCTTTTGTATTCTTAAGTATTTCAAAAATACAATTGAATTCAAAGCAAACAAAACTGTTTAGTAATTCGAAATCAGTGCTAAAGAAAAGTTTTAATCCTGACGCGTTAGGAAAAGGGGAAATATGTACATAGGTAGGGGGAGTAGAGTTAGCGACTATGAAGTTAAAATGAAAGAGTTATAAAAATCTTTTTCTTGTTTTTTCTAACTTTTTGAAAGGTTCAAGTTATTTTTTTTTTCGAAACTTTCTTAAAAACATTTAATTAAATTGTTAGAAAAGCATATTTACTCACGTGTTTTGGAGAAAATATTTTAAGAGTATTAAATCGATTGAAATTGAATTTGATTAAGATTTAGTGGGAAAAAAGCTTAACGCTTAATAAAGTTTGTTTAAACAGTTCTAAATAATTCAGTAAATACTAAAGTAGTGAATTAGGCAAAAATATTGAGATTTAGAGAAATATACAAATTAATAATATTTTTTTATAATTACAATAAGCTAATCACAAAGTAAAAAATCGGTAACTAAATACAATTTTTCCATTTAAAATATTAAAAAAAAATAATTTCTAAAGGATTGAGTTGCGCTAACCTTTCAAATAAAACCAAAAATGGAATTTGTTCAATCTTTGGATACGATATCTCGAAAACCAGATGCGATGGAGAATTCTGAGATTAGAACTCGGCGCAACTCAATCCTTTAGTGTTGTATACTATGATCTCTGGGTTAAAAATAGTAACCCTCTGTAATCCTTTTATCGTAATCTTGTATTAATGAGATACTTTAATCTCACATTTGCGCCATCGAGAGGCTCTAAAATATGCACTGTAACACGTTTTTAGTCTTTTTTATTTACATATATCCTGTAGCTTGGTCTATAATTGCATAATAATAAATTACGAAAAATAACACATAGAAATTTTACTATATTTAACCATTCTTAAACTAGCTCAAATAACCATTTCACTTTCTCGATTTACGTATTTGACTGATACATAAAATGTATTTTAAATTAATTTTATAAAAGAAACTTTATATTTTTTTACTCTACTCGTGTTTTTAAAAATTAATTACAAATTCAATCGATTGTTATAAATAAATTCATTGACATTGATTTAGTTTTTAGTTTTCATGTCACCTTTTGAGCGGTCAATGAGGTAAATTTTTAATTTGCCTTGTTTTTATAAATGAGATACATTCATTATTTTTGTTTATTATTTTTATTTATTTACCTACGTGGAACACACAAAATATACTCTACAGTAAGTCATATTTGATCACTAACAAATTGAAATTTTAAGACAAATGCTTCCGGAAACTCTAGATCAAGTTGCTTTGGAAGTTCACTTGTCAGTACTCAATTCCTAGACTAGTGTTTGATACTCATTAATATGGGACAAAAGAGAATTTTATAAATATGATACTCTTTTGGGATCAGTGGTCATCCAATTATATATTACAACTCAAATAGTGTAAATGCGATTATAGAATATTTTCTAGTCGGCTTTGAATGACTTTAAAATCATCCAACATTGGTTGTATTCTCCTGCAACACAATACATTCCTGTGCAAGCCAATAATACATCAATGTTTACTATTTCCTCACACTCACTTACATATCAAACTCCCACACACACAGCCACTTATATCATTCCATTCATTATTTCTTCCTTCATTTATTGATGGTGCATTTGTATTATTCGTATGTGCTTTTTACTTTTTTCCAGGATGGACCATTGAGTTATATAACGCTGCATACAACATTAATACGCGATCAAATCGCACAGGGTTTGGGCTTCAGTATTGCTGGTGGTAAAGGCTCTCCACCTTACAAAGATGGATGTGATGGCATTTTCATTTCACGCATAACTGAAGGTAGTCTAGCGCATCGTGATGGTAAAATAATGGTGGGCGACCGTGTAATGGCTGTAAGTATGAGTTTTAGCCTGGAAAGAATACAAAATGAGAACAACAAAAACAATTGAAATTAATGTTGCATTATAGGATGAATTGTATTTAACGTTCATACATTCACACGAGATGGTTGTTGGTATGACAGGCAGACAGACAGACGGACACACTTTTGGTGTTGTTTTGCACTTGACGTATGAACTTAGTCATTGTTTATCTAGTCAGTCATTGCGACAGCCAGCCAAGTCTGTCAGACCTGGAGTGTGTTTGTCAGCCGAATTTTTCTGTTTTTGCGAAAGCATTATATTCCTGTTGCAATATTGTAAAAATTTTTCACTTTAATTGTGGAAATTGCAATCATTTTTGTACGTGCCGTTAATAGTGATGGTCTCCCGACATTTTCTGCCAGTAATGAGAATTTGTTGGTGTTTCAGTTGGTGTTTCAGTTGTTGTTGTTATTGTTGTTGTTTTGTACTTGACACGCTTTAGACCATATTTGTTTGTTTTAATTTCTATTTTTATTTGTATTTTATTTTTACTCAATTGCCAATATAGATTAATGGCAACGACATGACAAATGCCCAACATGATGCTGCTGTTCAGTGCTTGACACAACCACAACGGTTTGTACGTTTAGTCTTACAAAGAGAATACCGTGGACCATTGGAGGCTCCTCTAAGTCCTCACAGTCCAGCTGTATTGAATGCATTAAGTCCATCAGGTTATTTAACTAATCGCCCTGGTAAGTCAAATAATATGAAATGGAACATCTACCAAAATAAATACTTACTTTAAATGTTTTGTTAACTTTTGAAGCCAATTTCAAACGTTCCATTGGTGATATGGTTGGAGAACAGCAGCAGCAGCAGCAACATCAACAACAACCACAAACTTATCAAACACAACCGATTCAATATGACACGAATAAAATGATGACCTCAACTTTACCAACTACAGTGCCTGCTACCAAAACCAATGGTTTTGCCAACACTAACATACCATATCAACAGCAGCAGCAACATCAACAAATTGATAAGGTGACTGGCCTACCTATACCAGTGCCAGCACCACGTCGCTCTAATTCGATACCTTTAGGTGATGGCCCAGAGGCAACATCCGCCTCAACGACATCACTCACAACCGTTTCTTCCCCCACTTCAACACAAAACGGCACAATACCTCATCATCCTTCGGCTAGCTCTTCGTCGGCAACAAACTCATCATCACAACCCACCGCCACCACCACAACTGGCACAACAACAGATTCAACTGAAACACAGGTAGGTTTTGCCAATTCAAAAAAAGGTTTGTTTTTGTTTGTTTAAATAATTTTAAGAAATTGCACGCATTTTATGTTTATGTCTTCCTTTTGTGAAAGTCAAAACTTATTTACAAGACAAACAAGAAAAACTAAAGAGGGAACGAAGAAAAAAAACTTTATAAAATTCAATTTAACTAAAAGAAAAATATAATAATATTAAGAAATATGATTTATTCGATTGTCTAAAGTTTTTCTTCAAAATTTACTTGCCTTCCTCTCATTATATCACTTTATTCGCAAATTCATTGTGACTAAAAATATAAATTTTTGTTAAGAAGTAAAATTTAAGAACGGGGTTTTTTGTACGGACAAATGATTTATTATAATTTGCCAAAAGTTAATTTAGTTATCATAATATAAAAAAATGTTTTTGTTTATCATATATTACTAATGAAATTCATTTACATTTTTAGTTATATATTTAAAAAAGTGCAATCCTTTAAAATTTTCAGGGTTTGCATATCGGAATGGCACTATATCCAAACATAGTGAAAATGTATAAAGAAGAATTGTATACTTTAGGAATTCCAACTTCGAATGAAAACAGCTATGGATTATGTTCTCTAAAAACACAAACACAGGCCAACAACTGTTAAACCCAGACCCCAAAACATACTTTACTTAACGATTGAGGTGCGCCGAAGTCGAGATATCGAGATATCGTGTCCTAAAGTTTGACAAAAAACTAGTTTGTGACTTTATTTAAGACGTTATAACAGCGCGAAGACCTTTCTTTATAAATTTAGTTATGACATCTTAAAGTCAAATCGGCTTTAAAACAAATTTTTAACCTCTGTTATATATTTTTCCTTCTTCGTGATGTCTTAACCTAAAGCTTGAAACAGTTATTAGGATCTTAAGGGAGAAGATATAACAGACGTTGCACCTTTATTTTAGATTCGAGAGGTTGGAGTTTCAAATGACATAACAAAATTTATAACGTCTCAAATGTGGGGGCTTAAGCCTAATCGTTTACAAAGGTTGACCTTGATCTTGGTTTTGAACTTTTTTTTTTAATTTTGTTGGACTGGGAAATCCGTAAAACTCTAGAGTTCTGTTGAATGTTCCATGAGTTATTTAAAAATCTGTGTTTCAACACAACTTTCACTAAAATATCAGATTCGTAGAGAATTGCTAAAATACCTTTTCGTATACTTGTCGAAATTATAGATTCAAAATATGAATGTAAATATCTGTGGCAGAAAAAACAGATTTCACTAAATAAAGTTTATGCTGGCAGTTTTCTTAATTTCCCAGTTGAAGGGATGTCTAACTTTCATGGAAGAAAAGACGGTTTATCAAAACGACGAACATCCAATACAAAGCTACAAATTATAAAAAAATAACATTTTTTGAAATTTATTCTAAAATAACAAATATAAACAGAACTAAATATACAGATATCTTAATGACAACCTAAGAATTAGTGGTCACTTAAATAAGAAAATTTATAACATTCATACTCCATCTTCTTTGTGATCAAATAAATTTAGTAAATCAAATATTTAGTAAATGAAGCATCTATAAGACAAACATAAATATAATCTTAGAAGATTAATTTCTAATGTACTAAAATCTTATGATTCAATATTGAAATATTATTTAGCAATAACTCCTAATCAATTACAATTAATTTGTGTATGTTGCAAAACTTTTGGCAATTTATAGTAAATGTTTGCTACTACAATTTAAGACGATTATAAATAATGTTTTTGAATTTGCACTTAGCATACATTACTAAAGAATTTAAATACGCAATTAAAAACAATAAAACATCAATTATTTCGTTTTTAATTAAAAAATTAGAATTAAAAAAAAAAAAAAAACAAAATTGAAAACGCCAAAAAACATGTTCATATTTTTAATTAATTAAAATAATTCATAATGTCCTTTTATATCATTGTGTAGGTACAACATACATACAATATAAGTTTTGTTATTTTTATCATATTTATGATTTATTTAGTTATTTATGTTTTATTGTTATTTTACATGTATTTTTATTATTTAATCATGGCAATGTGTTTGTTGTTGTGTTACCTAACATCTCCCAGTGTTTAGTTCAATCATTCACTTTCTGTATTTCTCTTCCTCCTTATCTCATGCTCCATTTGTATGTTTTACTTCTAATACTCTCAACAACTTAATATATTCTTATCCTTGCATTCAAGAGCATGTATGTGTGTGTTTGTGTTGTTCTTGTTATTGTTGTTTTTAATGTCCTGGATATTGTTTTAAATTAAGTAGAATGTAATGCAAATAAAACAAACAAATATTTACAACAAAAACAAATATACACAATACGATTAACCAACTACATATAATGCAACAAATATTTATTTATTTATTTACGTTATTACTCAGTTGTGTTGCAACAAACGAAACATACATTAGTGTTGATTTTTATTTAAGTACTATAAATATAGACTATTTTAATTTTTATATCAAATAATATTTAAACATATCGCCAGTTCAAATTTAGGAAAGTCCTAAGTAAAACTGTAATAAATTGTATGCCAAATTGAACATAAGAATGTATTAAGTGCAAATTTATCTAAACTTTTAAAAGTTTTTTTTTTAATTATAGTAGTGAATTTTGCTGTTAATGTTTCATACATTTTTATTTCAAAACGTTTTTTTAAACTATTGCATGATAGTTAGGACTTTTTGTTCTAGTTAATGATTTATAGTGTTTTCAATAATTAGATTAAAATTTCCGTAAAATTTCTGTAAACTTTTGTTTGTAATTTTTAGCAGAGAATAATACCTACGGATTGATGCTTTGCAGTGACTGAGATTGGTCTAGCGTAGGCATGGAAAAGTTAATTTTTAAATAGTAGTTATAACTAAAATAGTACTTTTTTAGGTTTTAAAGTACTAAACTAATTATCTGCTAGATAGATAGATAGATAGATAGAAATAGATAGATAGATAGATAGATAGATAGATAGATAGATAGATAGATAGATAGATAGATAGATAGATAGATAGATAGATAGATAGATAGATAAATAAACAGATAGATAAATAGAATGTGTTCCAATTCTCAAACAGTTTATGTAGTTTTTGATCAAAGAGATCTAAGTAAACAAGATTTAGTTATACTTTTTCCCAAGCAACGAAGTATAACCATTCTAAACCGAAATGTTTACTTCATAAAACTAGTAGTTAACCGACCGGTAACCGAAGCATTTATCTCGCCGTATTGTAGAACGAATTTATTTATTTATAAAGAATTTATCTCATCAGATTGCATACATAGTAGTATTTTTACTTCATTAGTTGTTAGCCTGCCGTGAACCAAAACACTTATCTCTCCGGATTGTATTCCCTAACCTGACTTATCCGATAAGTCATATAAGGCAGCTCTCTAGTATAGTACATTTCTAACGAAGAGGATCTTTGAAGAACCTCGAAAGTGTTAGAATTGCTTAATTCTCTAAGATTAGTGGTGATAGTCTCATCTACGCTTTGTGGACTTGGTACAGAGGGACCATTGCTCAGAGTTCGACAACTTTTCAAATGTAGATTTTTATATAGGCCAATTTGTTGCCTTATACAATCGCCATTGAAAGCAGAAGTGGAACCATCATCGCTATGAGCGTGTTCGTCAACTGGTATTCACAGAGGATTCTAGCTTGTTACTTTGGTTTTGATCAGGCTTTGTCTGGACTGACCAGTTGTAAATAACAGTAGTATCTAGTATATCTTTCTATATATGTACGTTTAGAAAACTTTTTTTAAGATTAAGTAACATTTTGTTCAGATTCCAAGGGTCCCAAAGTGGAAAACTTTGTAAATAACGAATGGCCAATGTTCCTATCCAAGTTGTTCCAAGTCCAAGTCCATAAGAAGGCAATCGTTAGTTAAAAATAATGGTATATATGTATGTATATCCAATATTTGAACCACTTTATATTATGTAGCTGTTCAATTTCGGTACAAATGGTACGTAAAAATTGCAGGACTTTTGGTGACCGTATAGTCCCCTCACCACTGTGATATTAATTAAATAATCATTATTTAATCGTATTGAAAACACTATGTTGAATACTTGACATTTTAATATTATTCGACTGTATTCGTTTGTTCATTTATTTAATTTAATTAATTTCATTCTATTCCCACAACTACATAGTATTATTTTATTTTTAGTATTATTATTATTATTATTATTATTGTTATTTTGTATTGTTATTATTATTAACTGTGTATGTATGTATGTGTATTAGCATAAAATAATTTAATACTTTTGGCTACTGCAACAATATTATGTTTGTATTTGTATTGTTACTGTTTTTAATTAATTTGAATAAAAATAATAGAGTTTTATTTTACTCTATTTTTTTCTATTGACTAAAACCAAAAAAATTATAGACTTTGGTTATTGTAATTAGGTATATTTAATGTATAACACAATAATATTACTTTGTTATTTTAATAATTAAAAACGAATATTTTAAAAATTATAATAATTGAAATAATTTATTGAGACATAATATGTTAATGATCGGTGATGTACTGCCTAGTTTGTATTATAAACATTGTTTGTTAAGTAAAATTCATCCTCAAGTCTTTTTACAATTTAACGTTATAACATTAAATTGTAACACAGATAATATAGTTTCAGTTGAATTAAAACGAATTTGGTTGTAGTAACTGAATTAATCGTTTAGCCATAAACTCGAATGACTTCTCTTAATTATCTTAATTATCATAGTGTAAATGTTCATTCTTTGCCTAGGTTGTGCATCACTGTTGATTTAGTGAAAATTGTCTAAATTCCACAAATAAAATCATTTGCATACTTTTAATTTAATTAACTTTCATTAGCTATATTATTATTTTTTTTTATTCACAGTTTATTAGTTTGAAAATATAAAAAAAAAGAATTTGGCTTTATTTAATGCATTTTACTTTTAAGTTTAAACAAGTAAAACAAAAAAAAAATATTTTTATAAAAAAAAATCCTAAACAAATGATTTTCTCTTTTTTTCTCTCTCTTTTTTGTGTGTATGTGTAAAACCAAATTAAACTCAAAAATTATTTTTTTAATAAAACTAAAATTAAATTTAAACAATAAACCTACAACTAAACCAAAAAAATAATGATTGATAACAAATCACCACAATGTTTAAACTGTTCCCAAAAATTACAACTCTTCCCAATCCTCAATAACAACAAAAAATTATCCAACCGATTTAACCTTCCAACACAATTTGTTTATGCGAAACAAAAAAAAAATGCAATACCATGTAATACGTACAGCCCACACCTTTAAGGCCTTTGACGAGTGAAGATTTTCAGGCTATGATACCGGCACATTTTCTAAGTGGAGGTTCTCAGCATCAAGTGCATGTGGCCAAGCCAAATGAAGTTGGTGTAGCTGGTGTTACTGTTACCGTCAACAAGGCTGTTCCTGATATGCCCATGTTCCCAGCAGCTCCCACCGAATTGGGTCGCATTACCGAGACGATAACAAAATCGACATTTACAGAGACTGTTATGACTCGAGTCACCGATAATCATTTAGCGGAACCCCTAATAAGTGAGGTGATTATCCCATCATCATAATCATCTAAATACTACCACTTCTACCACTACTACTCTACTTTACACACTATTATTGATTTTTATTATATTTTATTTATTATAAACAATTTTGCAAATTAAAAATTCAACTGCCACTAAAAAATTTAACACTTCTAATAGCACCATTGCCCTCATTCATCCTCTCACACAAACAACTACAATCCATCCACTGCCAAACAAACCCACTGTCCAAATAATTCATTCGTTCATACATTCATTTAATCACTTTAATCATTTTGGTTTTTAAACAAATTTATTTTATTTGACATGTAAAACAAGAATTTATTATATTTTTTTATTTATTTATGCACTTTTATTTTTATATTTAAATAGAGTTTTTCCAAAGAAAAAAAACAAACAACATACACATTTTTTATGCATTTTTTTCATTTTTTTTTAGTTCAACACTGATGGAAAAAATTTTATATTTGTAATGCATATGATACTTTTAATTACATACTTTTTATATTTAAAATTTTGTTATTTGTTAAATTTTTTTTAGCCACAATTGCTCGACATCTTTGCAACAATTTAATGTAACTAAATATGTTAAAATTCTTTCTTGAAAAACTGTAACAAACATTATTGAAACATTGTTCACAAGATACATAACATACATACTATAGTGGGGAGGGTATTATGCATTTGTGCTGATGTTGGTAAAATCCAAATCGGCTTTCTAAATCGATTACAAGATAATTTGATAAACTTTGGCATATACTTTTCTCTTGGCAAGATCAAGGACTATTGAAAATGGTTGAAATCGGTCCATTATTTCACTTAGTCCGTATAAGTCTATATGTTACTGCCAATTTTCATCGTAATGTCGGGCATCATTTGACCCTAGCCCCAATACTAATTCCCCTTCAGAAAAAGACTTGAGAGTCAATAATTTACTTCTAAATAATAGCATCGATAAAATTCTGCAAAAATAACTTTAATGTTAACGTAAATCCCTCTGCCTTGCTCCCGTATAACACCTCTTTCAGAAAATCACTTTTTTTGTCAACAAATTGGCAAATAATAACCTAAATGCATTATTATTAAAAATAATCCACATTTTTTACATACTACTCACTGGTGTAAGGTAATTATATGGTCGAACATGCCCGACTATACATTCTTACTTGTTTTAAATGAATTTATCCTTAGGTATTATAATATTTTTAGATTATTGACTGTTAAGACAGATTGCTTAACAGAAAACTTTTAAAGTAAATTTATAAAACATAAATTATAAAAATCATAAATTCTAAAAAAAATTGTGGACTTTCCTTTGGTTATATGAACTCATAAAAAGTCAATGGATTATATAGAATACAATATTTTCTTAATGCTTAGTTAATGTAGCATTTAATATTTAAAAAATCGAAATTTTAAAACAAAGTTCATAGGAATGTATGTATGTCAGGCTCAACTAGCCACCAAATGCCTTAATAGAGGCTCGAGGTAAGTGACATTATGGATTAATAGAAATGTGGGGAATTTCGTGTCAAGTGACCCAACTTTAAAGATCGATGTCTTCCGATGAAATTTGCACCAAGGTTAGTACTATTGGATTGTAGGGTCAGACACAAATTTTCATCTCTATCGGTCAAGAACTGCCGGACTTAGAGGGTGCCAAGGGTTTTATTTAAATGATTGTAACTTTCCACCTATTGGTCCTAGCAAAAATTGTCCTCTGACCTTTTGTGTCTGACCTACTATCCAATAGTACTAACGTTTGTGCAAATTGCGTCAAAATCGATTTTTTAAGTTGGATCACTTGACATGAAATTCCCCTTATATAAAATCAATATTATTTCCCATGTTTCTAATACACCCTAAGAACTACACAACCCTTAAACCCAAGAACAATTCCAGCCAATTTCGAATACCTTGTTTTGTCTGGGTTATTTGGCGGGTGAGACCTAATTTCTCAAACACTTCTTTCTAAATAGTTTTTGGCATGTATTGCTCCGCATGTGGTCAAGCGTAGTCATGATGGAATATTACGCTGTCATGTTTGGTCTCATAATGATTTTTGGTCATGAATATTAAGCTTTGGTGTCGATTCAGCTGGTTGGTTTGGCTTCAATGGATCCATTTTTTATAGCGTTCAAGCAGCATTCGAGGTCTCTCGGTTTATATATATGGTTCCCAATTTCCTTGATTTTGGGTGAATTCTCATGTTGAGTTTGACAACAATCTTAATCGTGTACTGCCTTCAATTCTTGGTCATTAAAATTGTTTGGCTCGCCTGGGCCATTTTTATCTTCCGGTGCAAAATCACCTCTTCTGATCTGCACAAACAATTACTCGCACGTTGTAACCGATGGAACAAATTCATTATATACTTCAATAAGCAACCAGTATGATTTTAAATCAATGATAAATTTGTTGGCAGAAAATTCGACATTTTACTTAAATGTATGTATCTTACATCAGATACGAAGAAACTCTACCAGGTTCCAATCGGACAGAATCTCTGATGCGAATCGAACCCACCACCACCGTATTGGTAGACTACGAAGGCACCTACATACATACTTATATATGTTCTATAACTACCAAAGTGAGATAAATGATACTAACGACTTTTTTATATAGATAAAACTATATAAAAGCTATTAAAAGGGCTCATATTTTGCTGCTGCAATCATTTTAAAAATCTCAAATTTATAAATATGAGTGGATGAGGAAATATTATAATTAATTTTGGGACTTTTTCGCTCAGTGTAGTATATTTATTTTTCATAAAATTTTAAAGAACATATTAATTTTGTATTATTGCAAACAGATGTAACCAAGTGTAATTGTTTTGTAAAATATTTATTTATTTTTATGCACTGTTTGGCATTTGGTAGTATTTTTTAAGCAATTTATATACAAACATTTTAACTATTTGCACAATTCACACTTAATTTCGGTTATTATTTTCTTTTTTTATTTCTAATATAAAAAATAGATTTTTCTATATTTCAATATTTACTCAATTTAATAATTTAATTTTAAAAAATCTTTTAAATCGATTGAATGTAGTTTATTATTTATATTTTATATGTTGTAAATAAGTTTTTATCTTCATACATAGTTTATGGTCGGTTAGAATCTTTACACAATTTAATAATTGACAAAGGAGTAAATAGTTTAAAATAATAAAAAAAACCTATTTTAATTCTTCAGCCAACAACAGAGTAGAAAAACAATAGAAAAAAATGTAATTCTATATATAGGCAAATGTATGCATGTCTGTCTGTCTTTCGGTATTTACATATTAAGATATTTTCTAATAGATTTAGCAATATTTCAAATATTGTCCATTTTACCATTATATTATATTATGTCTTGTGTGTGTGTATTTGTTCAAATTCGACATGTGCATGGACAATTTCGAAAACAATTTTATCGAATAAAAATTCATTGAATATTTATTATTTATTTATTATTGTTATTATTTTTGAAGGTGTTGGATTATTTGATTAGAAACATACAAATTTTATATGTATATACACACACATATTTTTATACTTTGGTTTTTTACTATATACATATAGAGATTTCTACATATATTCTTCTATTCTAAATTTATGTATTGTATGTGCAATAAATATTAATTTATGTATATTTAAGATAAATGGAAAAATAGTATAAATAACATGTGTTCTTAGAATTTTGTTCATTACATTTACATTTGAGCTACTTTTAACGGCCTAAGAAGAATTGAAAATCTTGCACATACATTTTTTGCACCAATAGTTTGCAAGTTTTGGTCTGCACTTCTTTATATTTTTGACTATAGGTCTATAACCATAACTCTAAACTAAACTATAGTCTAAATTATGATCAATTGTTTCATCCGAAAACTGGACTATAGATCGCTCTAAGGCTTTAGGCTGTATTACTCTCTACAATTTGGACTCTGGTTTGGACTTAGTCTATTAGATCCCTTTATTGTCTAGTTTATAATCCTTTATATAGTCTAGTCTGTGGTTCACTCTTTAGTCTAGTATATAAACCAATAAATAGTTTAGACTAGAAGAATGAATCAATTTTTTGATAAAATAAAAATCTATTAAGTAAGGCATGAATGTAATAGTTAGTCCTTAGAAATCAACGAGATAAAAAAGCATAAAAAGATTAACAAATTTACCAAAGTGTCTGTAATATTTTAGGAATTAAAGTATTTATAAATCTTCATCAATATTTTATTTTAATTGATTTAAGCTTAAAAATTTCATCTAAAATAATTTAAATAAATTTTAATAAGATAATTTTATATAAAGAGCCTTATACATAATAATTTATCAAAGGTTTATTAAACGAATATTCATGTCAATTTTATTCTATAAACCTTTAATAAATGATTATGAATAAGATGTTAAATATTTAACCAGAAATGCACATCAAATGATTTAATTTTAATTAATTTCATTAATTACAGTTTTAATATTAAATTTATTTGTATCAATTATTTTTGATCATTAATTTAAGTGGTTTGGTGTATAAAAAACACATGTTAACAAACAATCATATATTTCTTTTTTTTTTATAGATATATATTTTACAAAATTAAAGAATTAAGAATTTAAACAATAATTAACAGCTTAAATTTTTTAGCAGACATAAAACAATTGCAAAAAAAGTAAGAACTTTATTTTAATGCCTGAAGGCAAATTCATTTTTAAAACACATATCACGCTTCAGACATGTAGATAATTCTTTTACATTTGTAAAGAATACACAGACATGAAGAAGTTAATACAACATGATTTGTTTATTACAAGAATGGCAATGAAAAGTTGAATTTGATTTAAATTTGTATGACAGTCCCTACGTCTGTTTGAAAACTGATCGTTCCAAGATCGACTAACTAGGGAGGAGAACTTAAAGAGATAACATTTTCCACAAATTTTATCTGTTGATCCAACATGTTTGTTGGATCTATATTCATTTAATTGGGAATCATGACCATCATTATT